TACTTTGGTAGAAGCATACGTTTTAAGTAGGATCTTGTGCGAACTCACTTGAAACTTTAGTCTTATGAAATTTCCAACTTCCAAACTTCTCGATACCCATCCGAAATCATCCTGAGCCCCTCGGGACCTCAACCAATAATTCAAACAAGTCATATATCAACATACAAACTTAGTTGAACCTTCGAATCACTCAAAACAACATCCAAACACCAAATCATCCTCAGATTCAAGCCTAAGAACTTCTAAATTTCCAATTTCGCCAATTCAAGCCTAATTCTACCACGGACCTCCAAATCATATTCCGGACACGCTCCTAATTTCAAAATCACCATACGGAGCTATTGGAATCATCAAAATTCAAATCCGAGGTCGTTTACATATAGGTCCATATCCGATCCACTTTTCTAACTTAAAATTTTCAAATATGAGACTAAGTGTCTCATTTCACCCCGAGTCCCTTCCGGACTCGAACCAACTAACCTGATATAACATAATATAACTGAATAACACAAAAAGAAGTAGGAATGGAGAAAACATGGTTATAACTCTCGAAACGACTGGCCGGGTCGTTACATGATAGTATTAACATTAAGATGGCAGAGAAAAAAAAAAGGTCAAGATTAAGAAGCAAATTAGATCATGGATTTTATTGTATGTATTTATTAGTAATATTTTAAATATATTTCTGAAAGGACTTCTAGAAAATAAAAGGTTAAAAGGTTAATTGAACACATTATTGCATTTCTTGACACAGATTTATTTTAATCGAGCATTTTGCTTAATCAATAAGTATTTTACAATGAAACACAATCTTTTTTTTTTGGGTTCAATACACAATCTTTCGGCAGTCGATACGCTTTTGTTTTCAACGATAATGACGGTTTATGTCATCATTTGGTGCTACCACTAAACTCCAAGATGATTAACAATTTAAAAACTAGACTTTTTATGTTCAACTGTGTGGCCTGACAGTCAAGTTGTAAAAAAAATCACGAAAGCATAAATTTTATATTCTTGCAGAGATTTTAAAATAAATATAATATAATCTCTTATTATCTGTCTAAGTCTTTAGCGATAAAACATAAACACAAATAAGTACCATTGAATAGTCAAGTGCGCGGGCCCAAACACCACAATTATAAAAGAAGAAATCGCTATTTGATGCTGCCATATTCCTTTAACTGCCACAGCCCCACTTATCTTACATGCAATTTATTAGTATTAAGAGAGGTAGTTGAAATATTGATTGAAGGAACAGTGATATTTCTGGGTTGGTCCTGCCATTTTTATTAGGGGGAAGAAATTTTCCTTGAGTCCTAAACTATCTGGAGAAAATAGAACACGTTGATTTTATCAAGACGTTCAAAAAGTTTGTACTTTTTCTTAGACATTCTAGGAAACTAAAAAGTTTTGGCTACCCTTTTAACAACTTCTTGTTGACCATTTCTCCAATCACGACTAGAAGCCAAAACCAACTTTCTTATTTAAAGACCAATCTTTTCATTCTGGATTTGGTAAAACAAATAAAGTCCATTTTTTCATCAAGAAAAAGCATAGAGTAACCAGCATTGATAAAGATGAAATTTGGGAAAGAATTTGCATCTCAAATGGTCCAAGAATGGCAAGAAGCTTATATGGATTACAATTATTTAAAAGGTGTATTGAAAGATATCTTGAATTTCAAGAAGAGGAATGCACCTATAGCAGAAGTTGCAGCCACCCCAAAAGGTTCTTTAAAAAGAAGGTTATCTATGTACAGAGCATTTAGTGGATTACAAAGTAGATACAACAGTTTCAAAAGTTCACCTTTGAGTAATAATAATGACAAAGATGATGAAGTTATATTAGTGAATTCAGTACAACAAGAAGGATCAGAAGGCCATTATCAAACTGTGTTTCTTATGTCATCTGAACATGGTGGAGAATATGAAATGGTTTTCTTTAGAAGATTGGATGATGAATTTAATAAAGTGTTAACTTTTTACAAGAAAAAAGTAGGGGAAGTTAAGGCTGAAGCTGATGAGTTGAGTAAACAAATGGATGCACTTATTGCTCTAAGAATTATGGTTGATAAACCTTCAATTGAAATGGAAAGTGCCCAAGTCAATGATCCTATTCATTTTAGAAGTCCAAGTAAGTCCAATCTCAGCTGCTGCTGGCACTTGCTTTGTTTCTACATTCCATGATTTGCCATTTTATTTGTTTGAATTCTTGATTTTACACTACCGGAAACATCATCTCTGCCTTTTTAAAGGTAGGGATAAAGTATTCATACACACTACCCCAGACCCCACTTGTTGGAATACACTGTGTTTTTTTTTGTTGTTGTTGTTGTAATTCTTGATTTTACACAAATATAGGTAGGTTACATATGGAGGCAATTCAAGAAGTAGAGCTGACAAGTGAAGAAAGTCTGGAAAAGGAAGCAACAGCAAAGATGAATCCAACAGAATTTAGGCCTGCTCCACTAGAGATTTTGGACCATGTAAAAATCAATGTGGAACCCGAAACACCTGTTTCGACTTTAAGAAATGTTATCAGGAGTTCAAACTCGAACTTATCATTCAGCAAAGAGGAGCTCAGAAAAGCTGAAGAACAAATAAGAAAGGCTTTTGTTGAGTTTTATCAAAAGCTTCGACTTCTAAAAAGCTACTGGTAATGGAACATTTTTTTCCCTCAAATGAAGAATTATAGTATTGTTTTTGTCTTCAGCTCAACTCATACTTAACTACTTAATGTGCCAGTTTCTTAAATATGTTGGCATTTTCCAAGATCATGAAGAAGTATGATAAGGTATTATATTGAAGATTTGGCAATAGAAAGTACTCATATAAAGTTTGGCCTTTTTAACCTTGCAATTAATTTATACAGGTAACCTCAAGGAAAGCTTCTAAATCATACTTAGAGATGGTTGATAAATCTTATCTTGGTAGCTCAGATGAGGTATATTTTCCTTCAGTTTCAGAAACTGCATATTTTCCTCTCAGTTGCAACTATAGTTTGAACTTCGCGTTGATCTTTGCTATCGTAGGTTTCTAAGCTCATAGAAAGAGTGGAGGCCACGTTCATAAAGCATTTTGTCAATGGAAATCGAAGGAAAGGAATGAAAACTTTAAGACCACAAGCTAAAAGAGAAACACATAGAGTAACATTTTTCATGGGTAAGCATGCATCCTAACTATTAGCATTAACTGAATCCATTGCATTCAGTTCGAACTATGTAATACATATGCAAAACAACAATGTTCAGTTTTAGTAACTGATATACTCTTCACCTATAGGTTTGTTCTCTGGCTGCTCAATAGCATTAGTGGCAGCTATTGTTGTATCGATACGTGCAGGAAACCTTCTAGAGCACAAGGGTCGTGGGCAGTATATGGATAACATATTTCCACTCTACAGGTGAACTAACCATCAGTTTTTTACAAAGTCGTATTGATTCTTGCTCCTTGTCTTTCTACATTAAGCGAAACCATGTTTTGAGCAATACATATGAGTAATAAAGCTGTATCGTTGCAGCCTATTCGGATTCATTGTCCTGCATATGCTCATGTACGCGGGGAACATATACTACTGGAGGCGTTTTCGGGTCAATTATCCCTTCATATTTGGCTTTAAGCAAGGAACAGAACTAGGTTACAGACAAGTTCTTCTCCTTGCTTCTGGTCTTGCAGTACTTGCATTGTCTGCAGCATTGGCCAACCTGGATATGGAGATGGATCCAAAAACACGAAGTTTTGGGACAGTGACTGAGCTAATCCCACTTGCCCTGGTGATTGTAAGTCTAGAAAAATATTAGTTCTTCTTCTACTTCATTCTACAACTGATCTACAAAAAGGTTTTCAAAAATTTTCATACCCCCTAATGATCTTAAAAATATTTCAGGTTCTGCTTCTAATAACATTTTGTCCTCTGAACATAATATATCGTTCAAGTCGTTTCTTCCTTATAAGATGTGCCTGGCACTGTCTATGTGCTCCTCTTTATAAGGTAACAGCAGCTTATTTGATGGATATACAAATTTACGCACATTAGTAATATCACAGGAATTACATAGATACTAAAATATCTCACATCATTTTGTAGGTTACTCTACCAGATTTCATCTTGGCAGATCAAATTACCAGCCAGGTTTGACACTAAGCCTTTTCTTTTTAAATGGATAATTCAGCCAATGCAGTGTGCAAATATTGCATTACTGAACTATAATGTGCTCTTGCATTTCAGGTTCAGGCAATTAGAAGTTTGCAATTCTATGTTTGCTACTATGTGTGGGGCAACTTCAGAACAAGATCAAATAAATGTCAAGAAAGCAGTGTTTACCAAATCTTATACATAGTCGTCGCAATTATTCCCTTTTGGTCTCGGTTTATTCAGGTGAAGATTTTTGCACACAAAAAGATTATCATTCTGACAATATATATATATATATATATATATATATATGTTGACAATTTTTAATATGGTGCATTGTATGATTTCATGATATATACAGTGCCTTCGCCGCTTATTTGAAGAGAAAGATTCGATGCAGGGGCTTAATAGCCTCAAATATTTCTCAACCATTGTTGCTCTTGTAATGAGGACACTTTATGATCAGAAGAGAGGAACTTTTTGGAAAGTAATGGCTGCATCAACTTCAGGAATTACTACAGTTGCAAACACTTATTGGGATATTGTCATAGATTGGGGTCTACTGCAAAGGAACTCAAAAAACCGTTGGTTGAGAGACAAACTACTTGTTCCACACAAGATTGTCTACTTTGTTGCCATTGTAAGTGCAGACACAGGTTTGAAAAATAAATTACAAAACACTTGCAGTGAAAGTTTTTGATTACCTGAGTGTAAATGCAGGTTCTTGACATTATTCTGAGACTAGTATGGATGCAGTTGGTTCTTGATATTCAAGAACTTCCATTTCTGCACAAGAAAGCATTTGTTGCAGTTGTTGCTAGTTTGGAAATCCTTCGCCGAGGCATGTGGAACTTTTTCAGGTCAGATGCATTATTTATCAAGTTTTACTTCTATGCACCAACAATATGATAGATTACATTTTCAGGTCACCTAAAAAGATAACTACCGTCTAAAAAAAAGTGGGATTAATAACCTGAAAAATAATACATGTTACCTGTTACAACATATTTGTATCTGACAGTAGTTGTGCTGTTTTCATTGTTCAGGTTGGAAAATGAGCACTTGAATAACGTTGGGAAATACCGTGCCTTCAAGTCCGTACCGCTGCCTTTTAACTACGATGAAGACAAGAGTCTATAAGTATGTTTAGTTAGCTGATAAAAGGAAGTCAAAGGAATCCAGAGAACTCAAGACTCAAAATGATTTTCTTTTTTCTTGTACAATTTCTTTGAATCATTCGTCAATGGTGTTTATATATAGTTTTGTTCATGAAATTAAACGGTGAAGGTATATATAGGACAAAAAGAAAGCTGATTCTAGCCTCTTGATTAAGGATTCCATACGTATTAAAACTGAAAAATGACAACAGTACAGATCTACTGCGATACTCTAGAAGAAAAATCCTTAATCAAGAGGCTGAAATGTTCTTTACGTTTTTTTGCTTCAGATTTATACGTTCTACAAATTGTTGTCTCTGAACTTAATGCACCAAAAACTGGTTTAGATCCAAAAGATACATTCTTTAAGTCTTAAATACACTTGCTCATGAATAGTCTCAATGGATAATTGGTTGACTCTCTCCACCAAGACATGCTACAACCAATGCAGCTTTTCATGAAAATTCTTATCGTTTTCATAGGCTCATGATTGATGCATGAAATTAACATAACCACGCGAAAGCAATAGCTGAAGAATACAGCTGACAATATACACGAGTCCAAGTTTCTTTAACAAAGCAATGAATGTGTGAGGTCCCATATCTTTTCAAAATACACATTAATCAGTAAAGACGGCCAACATAATACCCTTGTTCTATACGGATAAAGTTTTTACTTGTCCCATCTACTTTCAATAGATGTATTGGATTATATATAAACCTACTGTTACACATTTGAACATATTTACTCATCATTGTTAAGAGACTCGGACCCACGGATAAAAAGGACATGAGGAGGGCCAATACGCATTTTAAAATATATCTCTGCATTTTATATAAACATATGAACAATTTTTCAGAAGGAAGATGGAGTTGAAAGAGTGAGGGAGATAATGCAATCAGAGACAATGACTCTTTGGGATGGTTTGAAGTTGCCATACCAAATTAGAACCTTTGCGGTATTGCAAGACCTGATTTTGTGGTTCTTTGATTAAAGTAGTGAGCTTTCTCGAAGCAAACCAAACATTAAAGAAAGAGTTTCAAGATTATATGGGTCGATTGGAACTGAGAGAAGCAGCCAGTAAATTCTGCCACTCCTCAACCCAATTTCTCACCATCTTCTCCAAATCATACCATCTTGGTAATTGCGTCAAACACCTAATATGCACTCTTTTCCTACCCACAAAATCCTCACTTTTCACCACCCTTTTTCCATCACAGAAGTAGCTAAATCCTCCCTCATTTAACCAACTCCAACCCGAAAGCCTCAAAACCATCAGAATCATTAAAATCCATTTGAGGAATCTGAAATTAATAAGAAAATTCAGGTAAAGAAACTGAACGTATAATCATGAGAAAAACCCAAAACAAATTTGAACCTTTTGATAACAGAAAAAGGAAGTCTTTTAGCTCTTGTGAGCCTCAGTAGCTTCACTTATCTTTCCGCTAACTCTTTACAGTAATGTGAAAAGATTAAGAATAAGGGTCTCATCCGTTGGTTTTTTAAAAGATGGGCAGCAAAAATATTTAAAAATATGAAAATATACACCATATTTATTATAAATCAAAATTATTTTAAAATATTATTTTCTATAACTACATTTTATATTTTATAGCAAAATAAGTATTGTATGTTATATACTATCATTGAGGCATGAAATAAGGCATGAAATACGCTATTTATGTTTTTCCTCTCTTAGACAGCTAAACATACATAATTTTAAGGGATTGTCGTTACTGTATTCATGAATACATGACGCGAATATATGTGAATACATGCGCGTACAACTATATTCATGAATACAGCAGCGAGAATACATGTGAATACATGCGCGTACAGCTGGACTGCCCTGATTTTAGGCATTTTTTGTTGTTGTATTCATGAATACATGGCGCGAATACATGTGAATACATGCGCGTACAGCTGGACTGCCCTGATTTTAGGCATTTTTTGTTGTTGTATTCATGAATACATGGCGCGAATACATGTGAATACATGCGCGTACAGCTGGACTGCCCTGATTTTAGGCATTTTTTGTTGTTGTATTCATGAATACATGGCGCGAATACATGTGAATACATGCGCGTACAGCTGGACAGCCCTGATTTTAGGCACTTTTTGTTATTGTATTCATGAATACAAAGCGCGAATACATATGAATACACTATCGTAACAATTGAATAGCAGTTATAGAACGTAATTATGTATATGGTAGCTATACGAAGTTAATAGCCACTAAACAATAGTAGTTTCTGAAAATTTCTCTAAAAATATTGATTGAAAATGTCTCTCCTTTTTTATTAAATATAGAGGGTTTTAAATAGCCAACTTGAGAATATAATCTGTAGAAAAATATTCATAAGAAGAATTTAAAATTTTCAAAATATCTCAACAAACCCAAAAAATCTAACAGAAATTTAAATTTTAAAAAGTAGATTTATCCTAAAACCAAGCAAACTTATTATGCTAAAAAGATGCAACAGTATATGAAGCAAATCATCAACACTACTCCTTTGATTCGGTTGCTCTAAAACAATTGCTCCTCCTCAATTACTTTCTGTTGTTTGTGCTTGAGGACTGTGTTGAGCGTCTTTGAATTTACACACTTTTGTAACATGGCCTGTTTATTTGCAAATACTACATATTGCATTATGTCTCCACCAACAAAAATTTTCTAGATGTGTTTTTTTTTTGTGTAGTATTTGCAAAGAGGATAATTGACCTTNTCTAGATGTGTTTTTTTTTGTGTAGTATTTGCAAAGAGGATAATTGACCTTTTCTTTTTTGTTTTGTGCATAAAAAGCACCTTCAGTAACCATTTCTTGTCTAAATACTCTTCTTTGTTCTTGTACTTGAAGAGCACTTATTAATTCTGCAACAGAGATGGTAGATAGATCTTTAGACTCTTCTAGAGAAGAAATTTTGGACTCGAATCTCTCTAGAACCGTCACAAGAATTTTTTTAACTATTCTGTCATCTTTGAAATCCTCGCCAAGCAACCTGATTCTATTAACAATAGAAGAAATCATGTCAGATACCTAGTGATAGTTACGTCTTCCTGCATTTTAAGAGATTCAAAATTCCTTTTCAAATTTAAAATATGCATTTGTGTGACTCGATCACTTCCTCGATACTCCTTTTTAAGCTTTTTCCAAACTTCTTTTGTTGTCTCACATTCAATGATTTTAGAAAAAATTGAATCTTCAACTGAATTTTGAATCACAGTATTGACTTTGTATTTTTTGGTTTTCTATTCTGAATGGTTTTTAATTTGGGCAAGAGTAGGATTTGCAGGGAGTGGTTGTAATGGTCTATCTTCCATTAGAATTTTCAATAAATCATAAGCTTCAAGATATGATTTCATTTTCACTGACCAAATATAATAGTTTTCACTAGAGTGAAAGCATGTGGGGCATTCAAAGAGAATCTGTTGCTTGCCATATTTGAAAATGGGTTTTAAAAATTGATGTTAGTTAAAAATAATTTGAAAATGGCTATTTGAAAGAACTCACAAATCCCGTAAGACCAATGAAGCTTTTGATACCATTGTTGGTTTTTTAAAAGATGGGACAACAAAAATATTAAAAATATTGATTGAAAATGTCTCTACTATTTTATTAAACATAGAGGGCTTTAAATAGCCAACTTGAGAACATAATCTGCAGAAAAATCTGCATAATAAGAATTTAAAAATTTCAAAATATCTCAACAAACCTAAAAAAATCTAACAGAAATTTAAATTTAAAAAAGTAGATTTATCCTAAAACTAAGCTAACTTATTATGTTAAAAAAATGCAACAGTAATTGAAGCAAATCATCAACATCATTAATATAAAGATGGTGCAAATTTGGAGTGAGCTTTCCCGAAATGTTCTGAAAACAAGAGGGGTAATTTTGAATGAATTTGAGGGCGGTAGATTGAGTTGGGCTTAGAGAGGGGAAATGGTGGGAATATTTATTTAAACGTGCATTTTGCTTAATCAATATTTTACAATGAAACACAAACTTTCTACAGTTGGTATGCTCTTTTTTTCAACGATAAAAGACGGTTTATGTCATCATTGGTGTTACCACTAAACTCCACAAAGATTATCAAGGTAAAATCTAGAGAGCTTTCCTGTTAAGTGGCGTGGCTTAACTGTAAGTGAAGTCGGCCCTGCATTCAATAAAGTAGGTAAAAATCATGAAAGCTCAAAGTTTAAATCTTTGCACAGACGAAAAAAACTAATGTGATTTTTTCTCATATTGTCTAAATCTTGATAGATAGAATTATCCGATATTTTTGATAGTAAGAGATAAGCATGTACCCACTGAATAGTCGCTGGGACCAAACATCAGCATATAAAACAAGTTGTCATTTGTTGGAACGTTGGGTGCCTTTAAGTGCAGTTCAAAGTAGGCCACCTTTGTAGTTCTGTGCATGAGAGAACAAAACCAGCTAAGACATAGTGCCTTTTAACAACTTGATTGCTGACCATATTCTCTAATGATGGCTAGAAGCCAAATCCAATTTAAAAGACCAATCTTTTCATTTTTGGATTTGGTAAAACAAATAAAGTCCCATTTTTTCTCTCAAGAAAAGGCATAGAGTAATCAATCAGCTTTGATAGAGATGAAATTTGGGAAAGAATATGCATCCCAAATGGTCCATGAATGGCAAGAAGCTTACATGGATTATAATTCTCTTAAGAATGAGTTGAAAAAAATCTTGAAATTCAAAAAGAAGAATGCACCATTACCACAAGTTGCAGTCACCCCAAAAGGATCCTTAAGGAAAAGGCTATCTATGTACAGAGCATTTAGTGGACTACAAAACAGTTTCAAAGGTTCTCCTGGGAAAAATAATGAAGATGAAGTGACAGTAGTAGTGAATTCAGAAGGTGACTTTGAAACCACTTTCGTTGCGTCTTGTGAAGAAGGTGGAGAATGTGAGCTGGTTTTCTTTAGGAGATTGGATGATGAATTCAATAAAGTGCTAACCTTTTACCAGGAAAAAGTAAGAGAAGTGAAGGTTGAGGCTGATAAGTTGAGTATACAAATGGAAGCACTTATTGCTCTAAGAATCAAGGTTGATAAGCCTTCAANTTTGAAACCACTTTCTTTGTGTCTTGTGAAGAAGGTGGAGAATGTGAGCTGGTTTTCTTTAGGAGATTGGATGATGAATTCAACAAAGTGCTAACCTTTTACCAGGAAAAAGTAAGAGAAGTGAAGGTTGAGGCTGATAAGTTGAGTATACAAATGGAAGCACTTATTGCTCTAAGAATCAAGGTTGATAAGCCTTCAATTGGAATGCAAACTGCCCAAGTGATGGATCCTTCAACCAATGATAATAGTACCTTGTCTCCAGCATCAGTGGATCCAAGTAAGTGTAGATACTATGGCTATTATGTTCCTCTTCCATCTTTTTGGAAAATAATGGTTGTGGGGATTTTGGGGGTTACCCATTTGCTATATTGAGTATCTTAATTTTTACCCCTCGTTATATTTGGGGTCATTCATACCTTTGTCGTAACAAAATCATTCCGCATTTGCTTTTGAAAATAATGGAGCTTCAACCTTTAAGTATAATGTAGAGTGACTTTAAACCGTAGATATGTAAAATCCACTCTTTTTATGCTGGAACTTTGTTAAAGTCAAGAGCAAATACGAGAAGTTTGACGTACCAGCTGTTGGCACTTGCTTTATTTCTCCATCCAATGATTGCCCTATAAATTGTTCGAATTCTTGTTTAACCCCAATGTAGATAGGCCAGAAATGGAGGCAATTCAAGAAGTTGAGATGAACAGTGAAGAAATTCTGGAAGAGGAAGCAACAACAAGGGAAAGAAATAAAACAAAGATGAATCCCATTGGTTTTAGGCCTGCTCCACTAGAGATTTTGGACTATGTAAAAATCAATGTTGAACCCGAAACACCTGTTTCGACTTTAAGAAATTGCTGCATGACTTCAAACTCAAAATTATCATTCAGCAAAGAAGAGCTCAGAAAAGCTGAAGAGCAAATGAGAAAGGCTTTTGTTGAGTTTTATCAAAAGCTTCGACTTCTAAAAAGCTACCGGTAATGGTGCAATTTTTTCTCCCAAATGAGGACTTATAGTTTAGTTTTTGTCTTCAACTCAACTCACACTTTACTACTTAATGTTCCCAGTTTCTTAAATATGTTGGCATTTTCCAAGATCATGAAGAAGTATGATAAGGTACTACTGCTACTACACTGAAGTTATAACTATTTCACAATAGAAAGTACTTTTGCCTTTTAACCTTGCAATTTATTGATACAGATCACCTCAAGGAAAGCTTCTAAATCATACTCAGATATGATTGAAAAATCTTATCTTGGTAGCTCAGATGAGGTAAATTTTCTTTCGGTTTCAAAAGCTGTTTCCCTCTCAGCATTATTCCACTTGCAACTATAGTTTTAACTTCGCATTGATCTTCGCTTTTTTAGGTTTCTAAGCTCACTGAAAGAGTGGAGGTCACGTTCATAAATCATTTTGTCAATGG